CACGTCGTACAGCCCATTAGCTGCATGGGAACGGGTTGGGTCGCGCCCACCATAGGAGAACTATATGGGCGTAGGGGTATTCAGCACACCCCTAGGCTAGGTACCATGTAGTTCTAGATAGCCATGTGGAGGTAGCGCCTCATAGAGAGATACCGACCATATTAGCTGGGCATAAGGAACCTCTAGGTGACTAATGAAAGGACGATGAACCGGTGAAACCCAAGGGGCAAGCCCCGATAGACTAAGGTTAGAACCCAATGTCCTAGAACCGAATTAGGGAACCGTGGGAGTTCTGTTAAATTAAGATGCGAAGAGAGCCTACAAGTAGGTGGCTTACTGAGTATAATTTTTATACTCATCCCGTTCTCATTTATTTTTCTCAGGTGTTCACTGGCTGCTGGTCGAGGTAGAGGAGCGTTTGAGAGTTGTACAGTCACAGAGGGGGTCGTTCCGGAGCGTCAGTCCCTTTTCGGTCTTTTAGAGTCTTTTGTATTTCATTTTATATTTGCAATTTCTTTTGTAATAATTAACAAATGAAATTTCTCTCTTTTGTTTTAATTCAAAGTATTTTTATATTTTTACTTTGGTTTTTCTTTTCTTCTACTTTCTTTTTGTTTGTTTTCGATTTCGCCTTTTGGTTCACGGTCTGATTTTCGAAGCCTCGAAAATCGGGTCGTGACAAGTTAATTAAGCAAAGGGATTTCACACGAGGATTAAACTAATAATTTTGTTAACCAACCTAAGAATCAGTGCAAAATAATGATCACTGAATAAAAGTAAATTGATTTGACATGAGACCCTTTTAAAATTACAATCCCAAACCTGACTTAAAAACACGACCCATGAATATGCACATTTGAAGGAGCAACGTGGGGAGCATACATTTTTGTTGAAAATTGAAAACTAAAGTGTGACCCGGAAAGGGCTGCGAGAAGTCATAAGATTATGGTCGAAAAAGTAAAGAAAAAAAGGGTGTCGGCATGAAATTTGGAGGAGGGTTTGCTGGGAAGAATGTCTACAAGAGGCCCCCATCTGTCCACAACAAAGGGGTCTGGATTTTGACAGGATTCATCCATTTCCACGCCCCAAAGGTTTTTGCTTTGCTCTGTATTGATTCTTTATTCATTCATATCACTGCTTAATTGGCCCCCTGTTTTGGGGGGGTTTGGAGAGCATGTCTGTGTTATTAGGCAATTCTGGCTGATATATGACGCACGAGTCTCCATTATTTCTGTTGGTTTGGAAACTTTGTTTGCAATGAGTAGCTAGAACCCCACCTTTATACACCAAAAATGGTTCTGTCTTTTCAGTCTTCAGAGCTAGGAAAAGGCTATATCGTACATGGGCCAGAGGAGGTTAATAGGCTGTGAATTCTCCTGGGCATGCAGCTCAAATCAACTAGCTCTGGCCCATCCACCACTTTTTTTCTTCTTCCTCTTCCGGCATAGCACTATCACTCAGAAGAGAATTCAAGATTACATTTACACCACAAAGATCAGATGTGTAGGTCAGTCGACACAATTATTTCACCATTGGCAGAACTACTAGAGCCATTAAACTAGCCACTCCCATACTTAAAATCATCTGTTCGCATTTGCCTGAAAGATTCTAGTTTTCGTGTTTTGGAGAAGGGAACGAATGTCAGTGAAGATGCTGAGCTCCAAAAGTGATGGATACCGAGTGCGCCAGCGAGAACACTCAGCTCCGAAAGGAGTGAGAGCTGACA